ATCGAGCCACTTCTGGACCCCGCCCTGCGCCTCTGCGCCCCTCACCAGGTCCTCCTTCTTCTCCAGGATGGGCCCCAGGCCCCCCAGCATGCGGGCGCGCACTGTCTCGAATTTGAGGACACCATAGGCCCGCGCCATACGCCTCAGTGATTTCTTGGAGAGGCCAAGCCGCAACAGGGGCTCGATATCCGTGACCTCCCCCACGGTCTTGACGTCGGTCAGCTGGCGCCCCTGGTCCTCAGCATCGTTGTCGGGCGGGGGTTCGCTCTCATCGCCACGTGCAGGGTCTGCGGGGCCAGGCCCATCCTCGAGGGGTGGAGGTGGCGCACGGGGCGGCCCCGGCACCACCTCCACCGCCATCGGGCGACCGACCTCCTCCGCCACCGTTTCCGTGGCTGGGGGGGCGCCCGTGCTCTCGGGATCGATGCCCACCCCGACGCCATCCGTTGACCTCCGCAGGGCGAGCAAGCCGTCGTCGGAGAGCGCGAACCCCACCAGCACGTCCATGCCCTCCTTGATGCGGTCGAAGCTCGCGCGGAACTTCGCCACTCGCTTGGCGGCGTGGTCGATGGAGCCAGCGCCCTTGTTCAAGCGCGCTGCGCGCGTCACAGCCTCGTGCTCGGTGATGTTCTGCGTCGCCGCCACGCAGTGCGAGCACGTGTATAGCTTGCATTGGCCATGAGTACCCTTCCGCAGCTCGGGGCATTGCGAGTTGCGCTCCGATGCCTCGGCGCAGCGGCGCATCTCACCACAACTGAGCTCGTCCACGTACTCCACCATCATGATCTCCCAGTCGTCCAGCGCTGAGCACACCCGACACCAGCCCAGGCGCTGCGGCGGGACCCAGTACGCCCCCACGCAGTGGACGTAGCCCGCCTCGGCGTAGTCCTCGTCCGCCATCACCTCGGCGTCCTCGAGCGCGGCAGGTGCGCCGCCGCTCGGCGGGGGGGCTTGGCCGTAGGCGGCCTTGTTGCTGCGTCGACGGTGGCGTTTGCCTCCATGACCGCCGAGGGCGCCCGCGGTCGCTGCACTCGGGGCCTCACTGGCGGTCTCATCGTCCACGGAGCGGCCGCCATCGGCATCGCTGCGCGCACCTCGGCCACCGCGGCCGCTCACGGCCTGTTCCCGCAGCTGGAGGTTGTGGGGCGCGCGGGTGATCGCGCCAAACCCCCGGCGCTGCTCCGTGGTGAAGTTGGAGTAGGTGGCTGCCGCTGCCAGGGCAGCTCTCGTCACTGGCACCACCGCCGACGTGGGCATCGCGGAGGCCTCAGCAGGCGCCTGGCCGCCGCCGCGGGGCCTCCGTCCGAGGCACCTGCGGAGGCAGCGGCACTGGGGGCGGCCCCCGCACCGCTGCCTCCGTCGGCGCCCTCGGCAGGCGTCACTGATCCCGTGGGCAGTGTCGGCGCCGTCCGAAAGGTCGCCGCCTCAGACATCACATCGAACCCCTCGTCCGAGACACCTTCGCTCTCCGACGCGCTCACCTGCTGGCCAGGGCGCTGCGCAGGCCCCGCTTTGGGAGTGGGCGCGTCGGCCGCGGTCGCACCGCTGGCCTTCGCGCGTGACTCGGCCTTCGCCTTAGCCTTCGCCGCCAACGCCTCGCGAAGAAGCGCCGCATCGTGACTGGGCGAGTCGGCATGCGTCACTGCAGGCCACGGCATCGGCGCGGGCTTCGAGAACTTGGGCGCCATCACTTGGTCGGAAGGATGGCACGGGAGGTGCAGCTCAAGAGATAGTGCGAGGCGCGACCTCACGAGCCAAACAGCTGCCGAGTAAGAGAGGGAAGGGGGAGAGGTTGTACACCGAACCAAAATGGGGCGGCCGACTGCCAAGGCGGGGCAAAGGTAAAACAGGAAAACTAAAGGCTGAAACCAGCGGCTCCAGGTGCGTGGAAACCGACCCCTGTGCAGGCGGAAAACGGCCTGACCCCCGTTCGGGACCCTGGACGGGCAGGAGAGGGGAAAGGGGGGCGAGGAAACCACGTCGCGGGCGGGCGACAAAGCGGACGGACGGCCGCCGACGGTCCCAGGACCCGCGGGGCGACCCCGATCTTGAACGCCTCTTGACGCCTCTTGTACAAGTGGTCTCGAGCAGGTGCTGCTGTCGGCATGGAGGCCCAACACGGACCGGTAGAGAGAGCAGCTCAAGACTAAGAGCACAACAAATATGGCATGGCGGGAGCACAACGCGCACAAGGCTGGGCAACTACACAACGCAACTGCACTACTACTACTGCTGCTACTAATACTGCTACTACGACTACGACTACGACTACGACGACTACTACTACTACTACTACTACTACTACTACTACTACTACTACTACTACTACTACTACTACTACTACTACTACTACTACTACTACTACGACTACTACTACTACTACTACTACTACTACTACTACTACTACTACTACTACTACTACTACTACTACTACTACTACTACTACTACTACTACTACTACTACTACTACTACTACTACTACTACTACTACTACTACTACTACTACTTACTACTACTTACTACTACTACTACTACTACTACGACTACTACTATTACGATTACGACTACGACTACGACTACGACTACTATTACTAATACTACTACTACTACTACTACTACTACGACTACTACTACTACTACTACTACTACTACTACTACTACTACTACTACTACTACTACTACTACTACTACTACTACTACTACTACTACTACTACTACTACTACTACCACTACTACTACTACTACTACCCTTCCTCCTCTTCTTCCTCCTCCTCCTCCGTCCTCATCCTTCTCCTCCGTCTCCTCCTCCTCACATTCTCGTGTTTTTGTTCATGCATTTGCGCGTTCTCGCTTGTACGGGCTCCCGAACGCCCAAGACGGTCCAATAGGCCCCCAGGTCAGCTTCAAAACGCGCCAACAAGCCCCTCTAAAGGCCCCAAAACGACCCAAGAAGGCCCCAACAAGGCCCAAGAAGCCCCCAAGGGGGCCCCAGAGGCTCCGAAGAGGCCTCTGAGAGAGGCCCCTGAAGGAACCTCAACTGCAATTTGGAGCCATTCCTGTTAAGACAGCCTCCGACAAAGCACGCTAGCCCCCCAAAGACCCGTAAGAACCATCCATTTTAGGCCCGCAAGACGCTCCTAAGAAGCCCCAGAGAGAGCCTACGCGTCCGCGACCTTCCCGGGGCCCTCCTCCGGATCCCCCTTCAAAGTCGGCGGAACTGGCCACAAGGCCTCAACAACAGACTCTACCACCATCTCCCCTCAACTTCCCGTTCCCCCTCTGGGCCCCTGCAAACTATCTATGATTGTGCCCCATATGAATTCGGGCCATCCCACGAAGGCCTGGCATAGCCCCCTTGCATCACTGTCAAACAGGACGATGCGCGCACACTCGAATACCGCAAAGGCAAAAATGTGACAGCAATCCCTTGTACCAAAAACACGACGTCCATACGCACAGGCACACGTCGAAAACAGACCAAACACACCGGTTATGCAATCATGCCAAGCCAGCATGTCAAAAGTACTGAAACACAACCCATGGTTGTAGAAAGGTCTCGCCTGGAACACGCACTCTGATTTCAACACGCGGCGCATCCACGTTGATCCATCATGCGCACAACGCACGATCGTGCATCAAATGATACCACGCGGGCCACACGCCCGCGCGCCGCCACGCGCGCGTCGAAATCCGTCCAGCACCATTAGTGTCCGAAGTACTTTCTAAATTGAACTCTTCAAACCCGTATGGAAAAATGTGCTCAACCGAAATGCGCCAGGGCTCTTAGATTCATCGCCCTCGTCAGTGCCGCCGCACCACGTCATCGTCATCGACTATCGCCGCCAGCGCCGCCATCACCACTCAAGCACCTGCTTCATCGACACATGGACATCATCATCGCCATCGGCAATGACAGCGTCGGCGCCGTCATTGGCTCTGCCGCTGTCATCGTCATCATCGCCACCACCATCGCTGCTATGGTCAGCGTTGCCGCCACTGTCGACGTCATCATGATACCGCGCCCGCACGAGCCACCGACCCGCATTGAAGCGCCCGCACGCCAGCGCAGCCTTCGAGAATCGCTTCGAAGCTGCCATATGTAAGCGCCATCGCGGCCGCATGGGTTGTGTCAAACGAACTGGCCGCTCTGCGCGCGAACTTGCGCGCGCCAGCGCAGCCGCAGAGATGCGCCGGCCAGGGACAAGCATCCATCGCAATCGCGGCAGCATGGGTGTTGCAAAACAAGTTGCGGGTACGAGGTTGAGATGATGACGCAAGCAATGTAGCTGACAACTCATCAGTTGGACAAAAAAAAACAAAAAAAAAAAAAAAAAAAAAAAACGCAAAGCTTACACCACATAGCTTGCACCTTAGATTACACAGCCACATTGCAGTAACTCACTGTTTTGGGTCCACGCTGGCACACATTGTATCATTGCACGGCGCAGTTGTCTGGGAGGAGAAAGAGGGAAAGCTGAAGGGACGAAAGACGCTCAAAAGATGAGCCGTCGCACGAGCGTGAGCGAATGCAACGAGCAGGCGACAAGCTTAGCACGTAAGGTAGAGCCAGGAGCTCGGGATCAACGGACAACAAGAACAATCATCGTAAGACTGGTCTTTCTTCGTTGCTCTCATGTCGCTAAACATGTATACCCCAAAACATTCGACACCCGCCCTCTTCGTCTCCAATCGTACCCCACTCAGGGGGTGTATCTTCCTTACGTGCCGCGTGTACTTGGCGCGGCCTCTGAAATTAGAGCAGGAGGAGGGAAAGGAGAAGGGAGAGAGCTAGGAAGGGAGGAGGAAACGAAATGGGAGAGGTGGGACAAGAGGAAGAGAGGAGGACTTGGACGAAGAAGACTTCGCAAAAGCAAGAGCCAACACGCATCTTCACCCAAAGTCCTCGCCCCCCCCCCCTTGAGAGCCTCTGGAGGCCCCAGACCCCCCGAGGCCCAGCGGGCCAAAGGAACCCAAACGTTGCCTCGGGCCCCCCGGCGGACCGGTCGATCGAGTAGAGCTCGATGTCGAAGACCAGGTCGCCCGCGGGCTTGTTCGGCGGCGGCGTGTCGCCGTAGGCCAGCTTCGCGGGCACCCAGACGCGGCGCGACTCGCCTCCCGCACCGCAAGGACGAAGAGGGACGAATTGGACGGTTTGGCCCAGCAGAGAGTGCAGGGGAGAAGAGGGAAAGAAGAGAAGGCAACCAAGTGCCGAGCCCAGGCGATTTCAGCCCAGGCTGAAGGCACCCCCGACCCTTCACCCCCTCCAAACGGAGGGCGGGGAGGGGAAGCCGCAAGCGGCTGGGTGGGCGTCGGGCCTTGGTGGCCTGCGAGGCAGGAAAGCCCACTGACCGTCAGCACGTCCTCCTCCCGAGACTCTAAAACCGCCTGCATAAGAGCAGGAAGGATTGAGGAGTGAGGACGAGGTACAGTCGGCCCGTATCATAAGGATGCGCGATAAGGACGCAAGGGCCATGGAAGCCCGCTTCAACGCTTCTCGTGCGCGGTGCGGCCGGCAAAAGTAGCCAAGGATGGACCGAGGAGGCGAGGATGCAAGGGTACCCTTGGGAAGGTTGCCCAACCTTACTACGCGGGTTGACTGTAGAAGGGAGGCAGAGGGAGAAGGAAGGAGGCTGGAGATCGGATCGGGTCGGATCGGCGCCGCTGGTGGGCAACTACGAAGAGGTGCCCGTACCCTTTCGGGCAGGGCGCGCGAGTCTGTGGCCTTAGAGAGCAAGAGCAAGCTCGGCAGGCGCAGACGCACCGCCGCGCGGGCCGGAGCCAAGAATGGACGAAGGCGGTTTCGTGCGAAGCCCACCGTGTGGTGTCCGGTACTGCATTCATCCAGTGTCGCTGGTGTCGCAGGGGTGCTGCTGTCGAGGCTGCAAAGCATCTCCTGCGGTGGCTCCCGATGCAGGGAGTGGAGGAGGCGGCGGCGGCGGCGGAGCTCTGCAGGTGCACGAGTCTGGCTGCTCAAACGCGGGGCATTCGCAGGACAGCTCAAGCGCCTAGAGTGCGCTAACGAATAGCGGTGCATTCGCACGGAGGGGGGGGGCCCGCGTGCCACGGCTAACCCAGCTCGGAGATATCCCTGGGGCCAGGCCACGCGTAGGCCTCGACAAAACTACAAAACTACCAACACACTGGAGAGGCCCCAGGATCACCCAGGGAGGAACAAAGGCACGGGAACGCAGTACCGAAACTCAAAAGGCAAAAAGTTGGGCCCAGGAGAGGGGGGGACCGTAAAATCGGGGCTGAGGCTACCCCAACAGCTTTGTCACCGTCGGGCTCCTCCTTCCCCCCTCTTGACGGGGCCATTAATGAGACGGAAGATCGCATCATCGAGGGAGGTGGAGGAGGTGAGGCGAGGACGAGAGGAGGAGGAGGTCCCGCCTCGTGCGGGAACATCTGCTGGTGGCTGGCTGACTCGTGCAGCTGGACGCGGTGGCGCCGCTCTGATAGCGGCGCCTCGAACTGGAAGCCTCTCAGAACGCCTCTGGTCACTCACTAGCCGAGATGCTCCATTCCGTCCAGGGCCAACTGCATCAGCCTCTCTTGGTGGGACCTCGGAGGCGTCCCTCTCTTGATGCTCGCCCCGATCTGGACGAGGCCTGCGAGTACTTCTGCTTGGATCCCTGACCCGCTGGCCTCCAGGAAGATCTTCATCGTCGCCCGATCGTGCGTGAAGCCTATCTTGCAGTACCTGCAGTGAGAGTCCAGCGTCTCGTTGGTCATGGACGGGTCGGCCTTCACTGTGTCCAGGTACGTCTTGATCCTCGCTGCCGTCTGTGCACCCACTCGATCTCCTTGCTGCTGCAATGCCCCGACTAATGTGAGCCATAAGTGAGGATGTGGTACACCGAGCTTGTCGAGCTCCACGACCCTCACTCCATTCTGAATCTCTTGGCGATGCTGCAGTCGGAGGCGCTGCGCCTCCTGCACAAAGTACCTGCCCGTCAGCCGCATCGCCTGGCACACTTCGTGGTCCGCCTGCAGGTGCGCGATGTTGAAGACTACCGACTCCAGCGCCGCCAGCCCTTGTCGCGTGTGCAGCATCGACCTGACCAGTACTGGCATGATCGCCTGCACCAGCTCGATCGGCATGGGCTCGTCCCCGAGGCGGAGGACGTCTCCGCGGTTGAGGCCGTAGCTGTTGTCGACCGCGTCGAAGAGCTGCGCCAGCATCTGGTTCATGGTGCTGCCCTGGCGCTGGTGCTGCGGGGGCGGCTGCTGCTGGCGCTGGTGCTGCTGCTGCTGCGGAGGTGGCGGCAGCGCGCCTCCCGCCGCCGCGTGCGCCACCGCGGCTGGGGCAGGCAGGCCGGCCCCCACCGTCAGCCCCGCGCTCGCGACCGCGGGCGGGGGCGCCGCTGCGGGCCCGCGCCTCGGTTGGCCCCCTGCGGAGGCGGGCCCCCTGCTGGGCCTCGGGCCACCTCTCCGTGCAGCGCCCGCTCCTCGCTCCCCGCTGCGAGAGCGCAAGGCGGCGGCCCTGTCGGCCCCTCCGACGCTGAGGGCGCGAGAAGCCAGATCCATCAGGCGGTGTCTCGTAGTAAATTAAATCAGGTGCTGGTGGTGCATGTACTTCCCGAATATGTATCTGTAACTCTGCAAGGCTATCAAAGGTCCCTGTCTTTCTTGTGCCAGGCGGCATGTTACAGACGAAGCATTCTGGGGTCGTATCGATATCCAGGCAGAAGGGGCAGTGGAGATCCGACGGGACGATGGGCTCTGGTGCATATGGGCTCCAATCCGTGATGCATCGGCGTTTTCTTAGAGACATGGCAACATGACGTTTGGCCGTGACCTCGCTCTTGAACGTGGACATGCAATAGGGGCACTGGTTGGTGACAACTAGCAGATGTGCAGGGACTCGCAATTTATGTGAGGGATGATGCACTTGATGCGCCCGCAGAGCCCCCTTGCTGTAGAACACCTGCCCACAGACCACCTCTGGATCTTCCCCTGGGAGTTCACAAACGTGCACCTCTGGAGGGCCTTGCTCGGGGTCTTCTGTGTGATTGTTACCTCGGGGGCCTCGAACCTCTGGAACTTTTCTGAGCTTCTCTGGATTGAACCTGCAGAAGAGCCTACCCGCGACGTCCCTCGTGAAGATGTCCCGAACCGTGTACTCAGCCAGGAACTCTGGGCCCCCCTCGAGGTACTGCAAGGCCTGAAGGTCCTTCTGAAGCAACTGGGCCCACGGGTTCGCGGACGGGCTCACCGTCCCGTCCTCCAGGAAGGTGTCCACCTCCTCCAAGCCTTCCAGGGTCCCGAAGAGCGCTACCAAGGGCTGTCTGCTGTCCTGTGGAAACTCGACGAACCGTTGCCACTGGCGAAGCCTTCGGACTAGCAGTTCAGCTCGGGTGTTGGTGATGCGCATTTTTGTCAGCAGCGTGCTCTCTGACAGGGAGCGGTACTTCAGTCGAGCCCCGTCTGGCGCGCCTTCTATAATCTCGGGCTTGCGATCGCGCAATACTGCTCTCGCGAGGCCCAGGACGACGGCATCCAGTCGGCGGCAGTCCTGCTTGCTGAGAAGGTAGGTCTCCAACCCTGAGTATGCAGCCGACAGGATGATGCCTTTAAACGCCATCCTCTTCAATCGAATAGAGTGCGTCACCTCCCAGAACCTGCCCATCCTCCTCCATGCTGACCTCGTCGCCTCCACCCTCCGCCTGACTTCTGCTGCACTCCCGCCCGTAAGCTGTTCCATCCCTCCCAGATATAGGCTCTCTGCGGCCACCACCCCTGGCACTGCAATACTTTTTGCAAGTAATACTCGGGTAGCCGTGTATGCCCCAGGGCCCGTCATAACTGGCATGCACACCTCTTTGTCGGGGTTCTGTGAGAATCCCCCTCCCTGCTCTAGCTTTCTGTCCAGGATCAGGTTAGACGCCAGGAGTTTTTGCCTTGCTTCAACAGGGTTTGGGGCACACAAGGGCACTGTCTGATGTATGTCATCTGCGTAGTCTCTGACTGAGACGTCGCGCATCACATTTGTCAGCGCGCACGTCATGATGTTGGCGGCCCTGCAGAGAGGCACAGGTTGGGACCGACGCGTCACTTGGAACAAATCTGGCTGCTCAAGTAGCTCGTCCCCCCAGGCCTCCACTGGGCGAAGAAAGCTGCGCACGAAAAGCTCGCAAGCGTTCCCGTCCCCCATCCCAGATCCATGCGTCGGTTGATAGTACCCCACTTCCTCCCCCGCCCTGATCTCCATCACCGCCTCCTCATGCCGTTGATGAAAAAAGGCACGATCTTGCGGGTGCGGGATGACCTCTAAGACCGCGCGGGCCAGCTCCTCGTGCGAGGTCGAGGGGAACGCATTCGACATATCCTTTTTGACGAGTATGTGTGATATTCCCAGTTTCTTAAGCCTCCAGCTGTGTATTTTTGCAACCAACTGTGCGTTTTGTCGTGCTCGATGTGGTGCATATCCATGTGCGTGCGGGGGCAGGGGAGGATGATCACTGCGAAGGTAGAGGCCCCGATGCCAAGCTTTCCCCATTGGACAATAACAATGAATAAGACGCATGGCCTTCGCGCCCCGCTTGAGGTTCCCCTTGGAGAGCTGAAAGGTCCTACTCCAGTGCCAGCACGACGGTGTCCTAGACTTCGCCCTAAATTGTCTGAATAGCCTCCGAAGTCGCTCCGCGAAATTCGGGCAGTGTACGTGCATGCGGGACTCCACCTTTCCCAATTGTGCCTCCGTCATGTGCTGTGTGAAGGGCCACTCTCCCGTGATCTGCTTCGTGACATGCTGTGCAAGCCAGTACCACAGTTCAGCTGGCAACGAATGTCTCGGAGCATATCGCCGCCTCGCTGCACGGCGTAGCTGCCCTAGCGTGCGAAACCAGTCGTCCCAGGCGAGCGAGGCTGCGGCTCCGCCTAGGTCATCAGGGCCATCCTCCTGCAGGCGCTGGAGTTCGGGCCTGGCTGGGTCCGACGGCGACTGCAGCACCTTGGCCGAGAAGCCCCCGTCCTTGGCAGAGGCCTTCATTGTCTCCTCCCACTCCTGCAAGCTCGGGCGGTACGAGTCTGGAACATTGCACGCCCGCTGTCGTGGTCCCCTGCATCTCGCTCCAATCTGATAGACCACCTTCCACAGGTTGCTGGTGTCA